CGAAATATCTTCAGAGAGTGTTTCACTGAAGGACAAACACAGTTCAGTCAGGACCACTTTTGTCAAAATACCTTATATTCCAAGCAGAATTTTACATTTGGCAGTATGGCTCTGTTCTGGGACCTCCTTGTCCTTGTCCTTGTCTAAGCAGACACTAGTTGAAGTACATGGCTAAGTATACTAGAGATATCCCCAGAAATTTGCTATACATTAATGAATTTAAGCCGGAAATTACAAGGCACTCATTGCTTTTTGAGCATCAAGAATTGCTTGGCCTCAGGCAGGAGATATTGTTCGTAAGCAGATAATGAACATTTACCCATAGCCTTAGCGTCGAGACAGGAGCTACGGATGCTGCATTGTTGCTGCTCCTATGCGAATTGAATGAGGAGTTATTTTAATGTAGATTAGCTAAGCCAGATCGCATATACTGAGCAGCAGATAGCCTGTAGGATTGCATGGTTGTGTTTGTCTAACACGGTTTGAGAAAATGGGGGGCAAGTCAGGCTGGATGGCGCTGCCTCCGGGCACAGCTGGCGAAATTCTGCAATTCAAACTGGGACAAAAATCAGCAAGGTTATCCAAGCATGGAATATGAGATGCTCTAATAATGAATTTACCCAACATAGATAACCAAGTGAGGCGTCTTACAAATCTATTAATGAATGGAACTGAAGAACGCCCTTGTAAATTATGTTGGCAGTTGCCTCAATGTCGCAAAAACATGATTGTTTCCTTGACCAGTCTTTTCCCCACAGAAACATGAAACAATTGGATACGTTTCATTAAAAAAAAAAAAAAAAAAGGTAGAAGAGGCATTTGCTGGCAAGGATGACATATGCCATATGTCTGTGAACCACTGATTATTAAAATACCCCCCAAACCTACGGAAGGGCAGTTATCATACAGGTCAATCATGCCACTTCTACTGTATGTTTGAATTAATTATATCTCCATTATGTCTGTACACAACACCGAAAAATTTGTGGATCCATTGCTCTTCCCTAAATTGCCCCTCATGTCTGCTCCCTGTCTTCTTAGCTCAGCAAAGCTGTTCATTAGTGATCTAGTAGATCATAGCAGTCACACTATTAGACCTTGCTGTTGACATAAAGCGCCTAGGTTGAACTGGCACACAGTGTTCGATTCATTTATATGTACTCAATATGCTGCATCTTTTTATAATTAATGGCAAATGATGATTCTAGCTGCTCATTGTAAAAGAAGGAGATGCCATACCATTATCACACAGAAGAGATCAGGACTGGGGCTCGGATCTGCAGCCCTTCTCCAAGCTGACCATATCATGGAGTTCTCTATAAATCGGAGAGGTCCAGAAGCCTGGATATAAGGGAACTTCCCTGGGGAATAACACACATGCCAATTTAAGATGTCTAAGCAAGGAGAGCAGTTCTCTTTTGGAAATTACTACTGCCTGCTGCTTTCATTACCTCTTTGATGCAATTTGCATCAGTACACTATCTAGAGTGAAGCCTAGAACTCTATAGCCTTCCCATGACGGTAAGCGACAACCGGATGTTGGACAGAGCTGACAAGCAAGACAGGTGGAGCCGGCCGCTGTGCCTCGGACCCGCGCTCCCCTGGAAGGCAGCGCAGCGCTGGAGCCGGAGCCGGAGCCGGAGCCGGAGCCGGGACCGCAGCGGAGCCGCAGGAGCAATTCCTCCCCCCTTCTGTAGACCCCCCAGAACCAGAGCAGCCGGACACAACTGTTGTGCAAAAGCGACACTCTCCCCAACGCCGAGATCGCTGCTGAGACTTCACAATGCAATCGACCCGCCATCATACTCACCGCAGACAGGACAAGTAGAAACAAACGACAAACCACAAGTAACGCACAGAACATCCTGGCAAACAGGCTTGTAGAGGAGCAGCAGAGATAGGCAGGCAGGCTAAAGCAGCTTCAGTAATAAGGCGCCATGTAGATGTTTGCCAATTGGATGCTTGAGGAAATCAGGTAAGCTGTCAGCTGACTGTGTATGGTATCCAATGGGAAGCTTAGAGGAATCAGCTGATGTATGTTTATGACTAGCTGTGCTCGAATGATATAGCTGTAACTGAAAGCTAAGCCTAACTTCGTGCCCTGCCTGAACTAACGCTATGCTCAATTTTATACATTCAGTAAAGACCCATCATGAATCTGATGTATTCAGTCAGCAGTCTATGATTCTATTAAAACATATAAAGTCAGTCTTATAAAGTTTAAGTAAAAGTGAAACTAAAGTGCTGTTTTCTGGAGCTACAGGAGCCAAATGCACTCTGCGGCTCACGTTATCGCAGTCAAATGCAGAGCCGAGTGGAAAGTGAAGCAAAGAGCTTAAAGAGTTCAAATGTGATCTTACCTGCTGATGAAACGTGACAGAAGAGAAGCAACAAAAATAACGTTTTCATCTTGATTTGATAAAGTCGGGTGGGTAAAGGACCGAGCAGCGAGGAGGTGAGAGAGAGATGTGTAGACAGGAGGACTGCCTCCTTCTTCCACAGCGTCAGTATGTGACCTCAGGTACTCAGGAAGTACTGCAAAGCTGTATCACCTGTCAAACTGGTACCAATGTCTCTGTCAGTGTGTCTGTACCCATTATGTTATGTTTAGAGCCCCATACATACACTGCAGAGTAAAAGCTGTGAGAATAAACTGTGTGAACTAAGAATAATCGAATTTTGTTGTGTGTTGTTCGATGCTCCGGACCACATCATGCCAACAATTTCTTCAGAAACTGACCTATAGTTTTAGTTTTACATCATTTTATTATTATGATTTAAAACATATTGCACTTGGATTGTGTTAGGGTTAAAGGCTGTCAATAGTCTACACTGTGTTCCAAATTATTATGCAAATATGATTTCAATTAAAGAAACATTTGAGTTTTTAGTTTTTCAATGAAGGTTTTTGATTCTGCTGCTTTGCATGTCTGTTGAGATCACTGACATCAATCTCAGACAGGTTTGTCTTAATTAGTTTTCCAGGTGAGGCTAATTAATGGGAAACTACTTAAGGACATTGTTCCACATTATTAGGCAAGACACATGTTTCATGCAATATGGGAAAAAGATCTTTCTGCAGATGAAAAGCGTGAATTAGTGCAGTATATTTCAATAGGTAAGAAGCTCCTGGATATTTTACGAAATATTAAGAGAGATCATCGTCCTGGGAAAAGATTTGTGTCTGATTCAGAGTGCAGACGGGTTCGTTCAGATGAAGGCGTGTTAAGGAAAGTTTCTGTAAGGCAAATTCCTCATATTAAGAGAGCTCCTGTGAAAAAGCCACTGATGAGTAGCAAACATGTATTTGAAGCTGCTGGTGCTTCTGGAGTCCCAAAAACCTCTTGATGCAGGATCCTCCAGAGGCTTGCTGATGTGCATAAAGCTGTATTTCGGCCACCCTTAAACAATGCCCACAAGGAGACATGATTGCAGTGGGCTTAAAATACATGAAGACTAATTGTCAACAGTTTTATTCACTGATGAATGCCGTGCTACACTGGAAGGTCCAGATGGATGGAGTTCTGAATGGCCACCATGTGCCAACAAGGCTGCAACGTCAGGTGGAGTGATGTTTCGGGCTGGAAACTTGGGAAGTGAGTTGGTAGGCCCCTTTAAGGTGCCTGAAGGTGTCAGAATGACCTCTAACTACCCATTTCCTACCATGGTATAAAAAAAGACAATACACCATCCCATGCTGCAACAAATAACATTGAGGCCTAAGCTGCTATGGGCATTAAGGGAGAAAAACTTAAGGTGTGGCCACCATCATCTCTTGACCTCAACCTTATTGAGAACCTGTGGAGCATCCTTAAAAGGAAGCTCTATCAGGGTGGGTGGCAGTTTACCACAAAACAGCAGCTCTAGGAGGATATTCTGGCATCCTATAAGGAAATACAGGCAGAAACTGTAAATGGACTAACTTTAGAATTTATCTAAATTGAAAGTTTTGAAACTCTGTTTTGCATAATAATTTGGAACACTGCATTTTGAGTTATTTTGCAAAAAAACTGCCATTGTCATCACTGGTAATTTAGTTTTAAAAAATCCAGATTACAATATAATTGTTGAGGAATAAAAAATCCTATAGACTGCCAATTATAAAAACAGAACAAAACCAGTATATGCATAATAATTTGGAACACAGTGCCTGTAAGAGATCTGGTGTAAATAACACAATGCTCTTTTGAAGGTATTGTAATTTCACACACTAATTCTGCTCTACACAGGAGCTCATGGGCCAAATGAAACTGCTGTAACAGAAAGAACTTAAAGGAAAGCTGTAAAATGTTGTCTTACCTGGAGATAAAAAAAATGACACAAGAGGAGCAACAAAAATAACTTTGTCTTTGTTTGAGAAAGTTTGTTTCCTGGTATATGAGGCATGTTCACCAGTTAATGATTCCTTATAGATGAACTAAAACTGTAATGAGAAGTCAACTTTATTATTACTATTATTACAATTGTTAAAATTATTATTATAAACTCTTATATGTATGGAACCAGAACATTTTTGAAAGGTTATGTGTGTTTAAATGTCAGTTACCTGTTGTTGCTGTATCTGTTATTACTTGTCTGCACTCGTCTGCCAGGTAAAGTCCAAAACACAGTGTGAGAAACAGAATTTGACACATCAGATATGAAGCAACAGCAGGTATAGGGGGAGGGACAGAATTCTTATCAAATAATCTGTTTTTGTTCATCATTCTTCATCTTTCTTTCCTTCCTCTTTAGGAGCAATGCTCTCTTTTAAGAGGAACATCCTGATCACATTCACACAGTTACACAATCATACCTGGAAGCTGCTCAGTACAACCACAGTCTGACCACAGTATAGTCTGTATTGGCCTTACATTGTTGACAATTCTCTTCAGTCAGGTCTACTTTGCCCAGATGAATCCTCTTTTACATAATTATTGAGTGTTCTACATATGTAATTATTAGTGCAAAGCATTGTGGAGCTCCTTTTTTAGGCCAAATGTTTCATTTTTACATGACAGCCAGCTTTGAGGTTGTTAGAATGCACTCTTTACACAGCTATTGGCTCGCTGTTTCCTCCCTAGAATTCATGCTAAGCTAAGCTAACCTTGTCTGGGAGCAAACTTTGTCCTCTGTGAGTATACAGGATGCTGAGCTAATATTTATGTTACTGCAACTACAGTCACAGATGTGGACAAAAAGAGCCAAACTTTTAAACATGAAATTCTGGATTTTATTGTGAAGTGAAACAGAAAGCAGAAAAATAAAAAGCATTACATTTGTTTTTAACATTCATTTGCCAGAAGTTAGGTGAATATTCCTATTGAAGGACAGTATTCATGTTAAATGTTTTCACCTATCATTAGCCCCTGCAGTGGGTATCAAGCTGTGCCGTCATTAATCTACTGACCCCTCTGACCCACATCATTCTCTAACTGACCTAACTTAACTTTAAGCTTTTATATTGTATCTGCTCAGGCTCATTTACATTAGTTGGCCCAACTGACTTGATAAGCAACTACATGTGAATGTGATGGCCCGCTCAGTAATCCAACCACCATCACTGTCTATCTGGTTCCACTAGTCTTACCATAGTTAGAAATCCCTGTGGTATGAGGAACTTTCTATGAATTATGTCCCTCGAGCCAAACAAAAGAACATGGCTTTAATAATCCATCACAAGAGGTGATTTTGAGTATTGTATTCAGTATGTAGTTATTCTAAAACCCATTGTTCAAGGTGTTTGAAAAACGAATGTCTACCTAATTAAAGCCTTTTTGAAAAGTACATTAGCGTGGTTTGCATTCTGTTGTTATGCCCCTGTCTAGGGGGAAGGAGCGCCACATAAATGTGTGATGAAAAATGAACCAATAATCCTACCCCGATTCCCAAACGAACAACTAACACAGTGTTAACAATCAAGTGATGTGATTTATTTTCAAACAGGTGAAACAAAGTGCAACAAAGACTAAACAACAAACTTTGGGGTGAACCAAGGCCAAAACAACAAACAAAACAGGGCTAACTTCCTTAAACAAAAATCCTTACTAATCCCTATGCAATAGAAATAAAATACAGTTATTAAACCTAACTCCCTATCCTAATGAAAAACAGGAGAAAAGCAGTACAAAGAAAATGGCAGCTCACCCTTACGATACTCACTAAACACGATCATACAAAAACACTATCTACTAAGATCGTAACAATTCACTCTATCGCAAAAGCACACACTCTACAACCGAGGACAGAAGGATGCTGCTGCTGAAGGTTCTGTCGGAGAGCTTCGGTGTGGTGCGGCGTTTTGAATCCCCGGCGGATGTTGCGGCTCCCTGGGAGAACCAACCAGCAGGCGACACTCCACCAGCCGAGCCCACGGCATGGACCAGTCAGCGCTGACCTACGGGTTGCCGTCAAAGATCTACAATCGACAGGCTGCACACTCCTGCAGAGGAACAGGGACAAAAACACCAACACACACCACAGACGAACCCAATACCATAACATAATACTAATAATACGGCCACGGCCGTAACATCTGTAAAAGTGGGTCCCGACATTATGACCATGTGAAAATGTGGCTCCCAAGGTGAGACCAGTTGAGAACCCCTGATGTAGTCTGTACTAATTTGATTGAAAATATGGGAAGTTTGGGAATATACACCACTAAAGTAATGAAAAGGAAAACTATGCTTCATTACAACTTGTTTTTATTTTTGTGTCTCTAGTCTGGACATCAGTTCATTTGGTAACATGTGTGATGACCCTACTCACCAAAAGAGATATCAGCAATAGGTTTAGTTTATTGTTTAGATATAGCTATAAATAGATGATAGGTGATGGGGCAATGATTCAGGTTGTAAAAAAGTTGACAATTTTGCCAGATTAACAATAATATAATTTTCAGTGGAGATGAACCATAAAATAAGTGCATCTGTAATGTTTGTAATTAAAGGCTAGTTAGCATGTTGTCATGCTGACATCAGCAATGATTTCCTTACCAGATCAAGGCAGCAGAAGTTTTTGGAGCCAGGTACAACTGTTGTTCTCCAACGACTGAAAAACTTTAGTGCATGATGGGAAATGCCTGTCTGATGTTTGACTACAAACATTATGCATTATAAAAAAATGAAATAACACCTGTACAGACGTCAGTCCAGTTACCTGACAGATCAATGAAGGAAATTAAGGATGTCTTATATTCCAGTTTTTCCTCTCCCTGTGTGTAATTATTCATGGAAGGTTTGAATTTCTTTATCTCAGGATGGGAATGAGTTTATGTTGGATAAGGACAGCAAACGAGTATAACCAGTGGGCGCTTTTGGCAAACCCATGTGATAGTGTCTTGATTATTATTATTATTATTATTATTATTATTAGCCTTTGTTGATAAGAACTAAGATGCAGAACAGTTTAGCAGTAAATATTGAAATATAACATAGAACATACTGTACCTCCACTTTGGTTTAAGCGCTGCTTCAAATAATAAATCGTGGCTTTGAAGTAGTTTGGCTCAATCTCGAAACAGGTTTGAGTGTAGAACTCCAAGTGTTGAGGATCTTTTTCAAATAATCTTTTCATCCATTCTTGTTTTGGTTCTAATATCTGTTTGTTGCTGTCGTAGTAACCCGCCAGAATGTCATCAACCACTAGAGCTCCCATATACTCTGGGAAGTTTGGGACTCCAGAAGATGCAGTTACAAAAAACTTCATGGAGTGTTTCACTGCAGGACAAACATTCAGTATAAATACAATGATCACACTCATTTTACCTTTAAACTTTAATTAGTAGCCCAAGCCTTTATTTGCTTCAATCACTGAACTTAACCTTCCTATATCTGAAACAGATGGGGGGAGGCCTTTAATTCCTTTTGCACAAAACTCTTCCTGAGCAAAGACGGTAAATAGTTTATTTAAACCAGACCAGTATTATTGTAGACCTAGAGAATAATACTTCTATTATTACTTGATCACTTTGGTGATGGTTTCAGTAAAATGAACTGAATAATGGAATTGTGGGCAATCTAACTACACACATCAACAAAAGTTTATATTTGTGTAGAAGGGGTTCAGGTTTTATTCATCCAAAGAGTTTCTATAAAATCCAGAACATGTAGCACACTAGGCTATTAAAGGAGACCTGTGTCTAACTGGGTCTTATCAAGTTGAGGTAAAAGTAAAACTAGATTAGCGTGTTCTGGAGCCGAGCAGGAGCAACATGTAAGGAGCTCAAAACGTTATATATTCTAAATGTAGGACAATGTCTTCGTCTCTTCCTCTACAAGAGACGCTTTATCTGTCTCTTAATTCAACAATCATCATATTACTTTGATTCTGTTCCATCAGGAGGGTTTTCAAGGCCTCCCTTTCACTTTCACGCTTTTTGACCCAGGAGAGGAGGTGAGACTTTGGCGCTGAGAAGTCTCCTGCCAAGGGAGTCTGTTTCTTTTCAGATTCATAGATGGGATCTCTAGGTATCAATCTTCCTATCCTTTTTCACAGAACAATGACTCCTCCACAGATCAGAACGACGCCTCGACACCCAGGTTCTGGATCCAAGCATCTGGAGTTAGGAAACCGTTGTTTTCTTACAAGAGAAGTGTGATCATTTAAATGCCTTTTTAGTTGTAAATCAGGATAGGAGGGCCATGAAATGTGTTTGCATTTCCTTTTGATCTAATAGACTCACCCCAGAAGAGAACAGACCCTGAAATTCACATCTGGCACAGGGACAGACTCCGGTCTCTCTCTCTCTCTCTCTTCTTAAATCTTCTTCCTTCTAAGAGTTTGGATCTACTCTTCGATATTTACTCTTGTTCCTACCTTTAATTTCCGTACTTTACTTCATTTTGTGACTGATGACCCCACCCCCTCTGGTTGGTCTGGGTCTTTTTCCCTTCTCTCCAGGAGACAGAGTGGCAGAGGGTGTGGCCATTAGATGGGGTACAGACTAAAGCCATTAAAATCAGAGAGGTGTTGTAGTACTTTGGCTCCAGTCGTGAAGGGCTGCTGTTGCCACCAGATGTCACTGTGCTGCTGCAAGCCTATCCAGCATTACTGATGATCTCAAAACTAACTGTTTGTCACTGAGGAGCTGTTCAGTAAATGGCTATTAAAGACACCAAAATGTGCCAACAGCAGTTTTCTACAGTACACGCATGATGAACACGCACACATGCTTGCTCAGATTAACCCCTCGGATCCCCCTCTAACATTCACACACAACAGGCCAAGCCTATTTACACATAATAATAATAATAATAATAATAATAATAATAATAATAATAATAATACATTTTATTTGTAAAGCACTTTTCATAAAAGAATCTCAAAGTGCTACAGAAACCAAGAAACATAATAACAAAAAAACACTAAGGGCAATAACACATTAAAATCAGCAACCAATAATAATACAAGTGATAAAATACATTAAGAAAAAACAAAAAAATCTAAGGACAACTTAAGAACGCCTGCCTGAACAAGAAAGTTTTAAGCCCTTTTTTAAAAGTGTCCACAGACTGGGGTTTTCGCAGATGTTCAGGGAGGGAGTTCCAGATGTGAGGGGCAGCGGAGCAGAAGGCTCGGTCTCCCATGGTGCGGAGTCTTGAGCGGGGCTGATGGAGGAGGTTTGTGCTTTGGGACTGGAGGTTACGGGTGGATGAGTGAGGGGTAAGGAGGTCTTTAAGGTATTGCGGGGCGTTGCTGTAGATGCAAAGGTGGGTGATGAGGGCGATCTTGTATTGGATTCTTGAGGTTATGGGGAGCCAGTGGAGGTTCTGAAGAATGGGGGTGATGTGGTCGTATTTGCGGGTTTTCATCAGAGTTCGGGCAGCACAGTTCTGAATGAATTGAAGTTTCTGAAGGTGTTAAAAAAACATAAACGCACAGATGAAACTATAGCAAACAACAAAGTACATCCAGTCCACAACCACAACCAAAACTCATCTTTCTGCCTTGAATCTAAATCAACATCCTAGTCATTATCATCACAAGTCAACACTCATATCAGACTGATGTGCAGAGCCGCACGCGACGCTCACACATGACGTAGTTGATAAACAATGCACACTCATTTCAAATCAAAATGCAGCAGTCAGTGGGAGTGTTTTATCAGTTGGTGAGAGTGAGTGAAGGTGTGTGGTGACTAGTATTGTTTGGCTCATAAAAACACAGATACAACTTAGGCTTTTATTCATATAATGATAATAATAGTTTTTTTCAGAGTACAAAAGTTACCCGGGCCATTGCCCCCCTGGCCTCCCGGTTCCGCGGTCTATGAGTCCTATACAAAAGTGCTTCACATAGCAAAACTGAAACAACACATAAAATATGTATTAAATTAAATAACAACAAATCAATCCTTCCAAGGCAACATTTTTTTGTAGCCTTTACCAAAAAAGTATTAAAATAAAGTAGAAATAAAATAAACAAGAAGGAGAGAAAAAATTTAAAACTTATGATTAAAACTATTTAATCTCATTTGAAAAAATACTATTTTCTGTAAATACTCCAGTAAAAAAAGGGTTTCAGCAAAGATTTTCTTAAAAGCTTACAGTTGTGGAATGGATTAGGAAACAATGTGGCTCTCTTATTTATAATATCAGGTGTTGTTTAACTGCAGATGTGAATAGTTCACGTCACAGAATGAATTGCTTTGCCGTCCCATTTGCAGTAATTCACTGTGTGCACAATGTGTTTGTAAATCAGGTTTCTGGATTCAGTTTCTCAGAGAGCTCGGAGCTGTTGTCAGGAGCTGCAAGGAAAAACACACAGTCAGTCCACTTATCCTGCACTGATCGGCCTTTAATAAACAGCTACTACGACCTGTTGCAGAGGGTGGTTGATCAGATCCACCACAAGGTGTTCAGTCCGAAACAACCTCTGCAACAAGCCCACCTTCTGATGTTTCATCCAGAGCCAAGAGACATGCTTCCTCTGTCAGAATCAAACCCCAACAGCTTCAGACTGACAGAGGCTCAGTGATGTTTAATGACATTTACCCCATTCTGTCTCGTTGAGGAAAGGTTAGTGAAGCTATTCTGATCTACTAAACAACCCATTATGTATGCAGATTCAATAATCTGCTGACACAAGTGTGTGTTAGAGCAGATAAATTAAAATAAAACAAGTTCTACTCACGACATGGAGGGCGTTTAGCTGAAACAAGAAGATTAATAATTTAAGTTGTCACAGTTGTAAATGCCAGAAAATAATTTTCTCCTACTTATGTTAAATAAATATCCTTTACCCCTCTAAAACATTTCTCTATCATCATCATGCTACAGTCTTTCTACTGGTTGCTACATAATAGGAATTGAGGCTTATTTTATCTTTTAAAAGTAAAGTAAAACATTTAATTAGAAAATATATTTCAGTTTGGTCTCTGACTTTTCTCCTTTTTGTGAACTATAAATCCAAACACAGATAACTTTTCCATGTTCCTGTCTTACCTTTCCTCTTTTTGTAAACAATGAATCCAGTAGCAGCCATAAGGACAACAACCAGAGCAGCCACTGCAGCAGTGATGGGAATGGTCGTATCAGAAGGCTTCTCTGTTGATCAGAAACAACCAGATACACAAAGCAGGTTAGAACAGATGTCCACCTATTTATTAATACCTACTTCATTCATCCAGTTAGGACCTAATTACTTGTGATGTTGTTGTGTCCTGTGATAGGTTGCTGCATTGGTATTCAAACAAAACAAAACACTGTCACAGATGATTCCAGTCTTACCTTCATTGGTCCTGATCTCTGCTTTGTCCAGTCTGATAACGATGTTCTTCACACCAGAGAGCTGAAACACACAGTCGTACCTCCTCCAGTCTTCAGGTGTGACTGATGAAAGGTTCAAGTCAACACTCATCTGGAAGGATTCATCGTGGTTGGGGGAGGATCTCTCCGTGGTCCACGTCCTCATGAATCTCCTCTCCATCTTTCCTCCAGATGAGTGTGGCACTGTTAGGGTAGAAACCTGTAGCGTGGCAGCTGACTGGAGAGGAGGGAGTCTTCTGGAGGAGAGACACTGAGGGAAGCTCTGGAGAGAGAGAGAGAGAGAGAGAGAGAGAGAGAGAGAGAGAGAGAGAGAGAGAGAGAGAGAGAGAGAAGCTCCTTATAACAACCACCACATTGTCTCCATATAAAAAAATGGGAGAACCACTGAAGAAACTCACAAGAAGTATCTGCCTTTGTGGTTCACAGCAAAGTACTCAAACACAGCGTCAATATTCAGTGGAACTATTTCTATTTTCATTGATGAAGATGTGTTCATGAAACTAAATCATGTCATGTGATTCTACCTTTTCTCTGAAGAGAGCTGTTGCCATAGTCCAAATACTTCTTGAGGAACCCCGGGAAAATCATAGTGAGGTGATTCTCATTGTATTTTATTCTAGCTTTGTCATTATCCCATCTCAGTTTGGTGGTGACAGCCTGAGGTTTCGGAGCGATCCATGTCAATGTCTTCAGGTCGAAAGATATGAAGTCTTCTCGATCATAACCATACTGCATAAAACCATTAACCTCTCCAGTCTCATCATCCCACTCACAACCAAACATCTCCTGTAAAATGTGGACACCTGAGAGAGAGACAGAGACAGAAACAGAGACAGTAATTAACAATGTACAGAATACAGATGAAATCTCCAGTGGAAAGATGATCTTATAAATATTGTGCATTGTGTGACACTTGTGTCTTGTGGTGTGATCATGATTCAAGAGCAGATAATCAGTGCACTTTATCTGAGTGATGAAACCCAATTTTGTAATAGTAGCTACTGTTGTATGAATTGACAGATGACTGTCAGTGGCAGTATACAAAGTGGGTATGTTGAATTATATGCACATTAAACACTTAAAACAAAGTCACACCTGTGTGACACCTGCAGTCTCAGATGCAGTCCAAGCTCAATTTCATTAAATATAATATACATAAATACTTTACCTTCACTTTGGTTGAGGCGCTGCTTCAAATTCTGAATCCTGACTTTGAATTTGTTTGGCCCTCTCTGAAAACACTCCTGAGTGGCCCACTCAAAGTGCTGAGGATCATCTTCAAATACTTTTTTCATCCAGCCCTGTTTTGGTTCTAATATCTTTTTGTTGCTGTCGCAGTAAATAGCCAGACTTCCATCAACCACAACAGCTGCCACAAGTTCTGATATGTTTGTGACTCCACTTGATCCAGTTATAAAATATTTCAGAGAGTGTTTCACTACAGGACAAACACAGTTTATACATTCATTAAAGACCCATCATGAATCTGATGTATTCAGTCAGCAGCCTATGATTCTATTAAAACATATAAAGTCAGTCTTATGAAGTTTAAGTAATTGTGAAACTAAAGTGCTGTTTTCTGGAGCTACAGGAGCCAAATGCACTCTGCGGCTCAAGTAATCGCAGTCAAATGCAGAGCCGAGTGGAAAGTGAAGCAAAGAGCTTAAAGAGTTCAAATGTGATCTTACCTGCTGATGAAACGTGACAGAAGAGAAGCAACAAAAATAACGTTTTCATCTTGATTTGATAAAGTCGGGTGGGTAAAGGACCGAGCTGGTTGAGCTGTTATGTCCTCTGTCTACTGTTTTGTCTTTGCGGAGCAAAGTGGGAGTGTTCCTGTTATGACTCAACTTTATTACGTAGGGGTGGGGGGTCAATCTCCTGTTCCATTAGATATAAAAGCAAGACCATCCAGCAGTACTAATGTTTTCTCTGGACCTACCTTTGAAAGACATTGCACCACACACCCCCAGTGTCTCAAAACAACCTATTTATGACATTGCTGGCCTGACCAATAAGTGTATAGGGTAGCGGTCACTCTTATGATCATGGCCACAGTCAGCTATGAGGTCACTGAGGTCCAGATCTAGGTCATTATTTCCTAAAAAACTAAATTTGAAGATATGATATATTAATGCATAATTGGGAATAGAAAATGTCTGTTTAAGTGTCTGCCTTTCAGCTGAACACCTCTGTGCACAACTCATTACATTATGTGAAATACATGTGACAACTTGCACATGTCCAACACCGTGCTGTCTCTGTTCACACAGTTTGAGGGGTCGTTAAATCCTTCACTCAACAAAGCAAACAGCAGACACTTTGACAAAACTTCTGGCTGGCCCAACTGGCTTAATAAGCAACGTCATGTGAATGCCATGGTTCAATGCTCAACAGTCAACCACCATCACTGTTTATCTGGTTCCACTCTAGTTAGCAACCCCTGTGGTATGAGGAACCTTTCATGAATTATCTTCCTAAATCTGTTTTACCAAACAGAACTTGGTTTCAATAATCCATCACAAAAGGTGATTTTGAGAACCGTATTCAGTGTCTTTGTGTGTTTACAGAAACCTGTAATTTATGTAGTTATTCTAAACCCATAGCAGTCATTTAAAATAGTCAGAAACTTGGCAAGGAAACACATTATAGCATCAGTGTAACGATACATTAAAAACTCATGAAAGGTTTTCAAAACAGATTTACAATATTATTTGTAACATGAAATAAACTATTAGTCCTACATTTTAGATTTACATATGAAGCACATTAATCACAACTACTACTGCTTCAATTTTGTTTTCACAAATAATTGGTTTATTTAAACCAGACCAGTATTATTCTAGACCTAGAGAATAATGTTTATATTAAAATCATTCATTTGATTTCTTGATCACTTTGGTGATGGTTTCAGTAAAATGAACTGAACAATTGAATTTTGGGCAATCTAACTACATACATTCACACAATTACATTAAATCTGCTAATTTCAGAAATTTTCCAATCACACTGTGACTCATATAAAATGTTACATAAATATCAACACTGAAGGTAAAATACAGGGTCTAAACTACACCAATAGGGTCAATTCATATTTAGTGGCAATTATGAATGAATGTACTGTAACATATTGCACAATAACAAATGTAATAATAACCTAATAATAATAGGCTTCTCTTGTTACATGTATTGTTTGCAGTAACACAATATCAACTAACACATAACCCCACAGTGACACTGGACCTAAACTACATTAGTAAAGTACATTCATATTTGATGTCAGTAACAATATTTATTATGTAGGCTTTTTGGACGATGCATTTATGAATTATTTTACTGTAACATATCACACAAACTGCTACATTTAATGCAGCACTTGAACAACAGTATAACAATTGTAATGATAACACACAGGCTTCTTGGATTTTATTGCTCACCTATGAGACTAAAAGCATTAAAATCAGAGAGGTGTTGTGGTGCTTTGACTCCAGTCGTGAAGGGCTGCTGTTGCCACCAGATGTCACTGTGCTGCTGCATTTGAAGCCCCAAAGCTTCAGACGGCTTCATCCACCTCTCACTAGTTCTGACTTCACTAAGAACGAGCTTTAGTGCCGACCTTTAAGGTACCAGAGAGCCAGGAAGTCCAAAATTGAGGAAACTATAATATTAGCTGTAAACTGCTTCTTCAGTTCCATGTACAGTGATTGCTAATATATATATTCACGTTTGGTATGTAACTCAATGTGGTGATGCTCCTCCCATAACGCACACACACACACACACACACACACACACACACACACACACACACACACACACACACACACACACACACACACACTGAGGCGGAGTCCTGACTAGCAGACACAGATTAAACCTGATCCTGGACTGAACATTAACACCCACTGAGACCCTGCAGCCAGTGGACCAGTCCAACAATATCCTCTTCCTGTGAGAAACTACAGACTGTCCTGAAGCTGCTCTAGAAGCTGTGTTCTCTCCACTGTGTGTGAGTGAAGAACAGCCTCCAGTTAATTCAGTGTGAATAAAATACTATTGATAAAAGAAGGGTGGTGTGTGTTTGCGTGTGTGTGTGTGTGCCCACATACAAGTGTTAATAGTGGAAGCTGCATGTGTAAAGGTAAAACATATAATCAGTAACATTCTTTACAGTTTGGTTTAAAGTATTCTTCAAACTGTAAAATTCTTCTTTGTAGAGTTGCTGGTGCACTGTACAGTCCCCTGTGTACCACTTTCAGTACTTTGGCTCTCTGTCTGTCTGTCCGTCTGAATTTTTCCATACAGTCCTGTTTGGGTAAAGCTGTCTTGATACTTTACACTTTTCTGCTCTACCAAGGAGCTCATGGGCCAGATGAAACTACTGTAACAGCAAAGAGCTTAAAAGGAAGCTTTAGGTGTTTTAAAAAGAGGAGAAACAAAAATAACTTTGTCTTTGTTTAAGAAAGAAGAAGAACCAAAGAGCTTGGTAGAATCAACTGATGTTAACTTTGTCTTCAGTCCAATAATGTTTCCTGGTTCAGGGACTGAGTCTTTGTTCTCTGGAAGATGAGACATGCTCAGTAGTTCATGATTCCTTATAGGTGAACTAAAACCTTACTCTGAATAATAAAAATGTAACTTTATTATTATTATTTGTTTTTTTTATTTATTTATTATATACTCTAACATGTATGGAACCAGAACATTTTTTGAAAGGTTGTGTTTGTTTAAATGTCAGTTACCTGTTGTCGCTGTATCTGTTATTACTTGTCTGCACTCGTCTGCCAGGTAAAGTCCAAAACACAGTGTGAGAAACAGAATGTGACACATCAGATATGAGGCATAGGGGACAGAATACTTATCAAATAATCTTCATTTCTATTCTCTGTCTAAATCTCTCTCTCAACGTTCCTTGTAATCAAAACCTGCTTAACCTGCTTCTGTCTGGATTTTGCTTCACAGAGTAGAGGTGGCATTTGTGTTGTAACATTAAAAAGTTTGCCCCTTATCATCATCTGCCTTTGTTTACTTAAGTTTAAAATCACTTGATGCAGAAATAATTGTAATACTGATATAGTGCATAATGTATAACAATATTACTAATTACTATTTATTATAATTTAAAGAGTATAGTATAGGTCTAAGAATTTTACAGTATTTTGAGAGTAACAGTAATCACTTAGGAAATATGTTGTAGATGAAAATTGTACCGTAGGGAACAGTGTGACATGGGTGTGGGGGTAGCCAGGCAGAGGTGGATTAGAAATGCAGTGATTGCTACATCAACCAAAAATGGCAAGGGAGGAAAGAAGTGTTAGACTTTTATTGGTCAGGTATCTGCACACATACAAGGAATTTGACTCTGGTTTTACGTTGCCCTCAATGTACAAACAAAGACTAAGCATAAATTAACAGCATAACAAGCTTAACGGAATAGGCATATGTACTATGTTGTTATAGTTATATATATATATATAATCAAACAAAAGAAAACAAACAAAATAAATGTGTAAATTGTTCCACAGATTAAAGGAAGTTGTACAGCATTGTTTGGCCTAATGTGTCTTTAAATTAAATATATATCAATACATAATATGCCAGTTAAAATAGAAATCAAATGTAAATATAATTCTTCATTTAAAAGTAAGCTCAGATTTTGAACAAACACACTGTATGACCATACTGTACCTGATGTGTATTGTTACATGTAAAGTAAAGATAAGCCACGCTAACCCTCTCCAACTCCTCTGTGAGAATACTGAATGCTCAGATAATATTTATATCACTGCAACCATATTCACAGATGTGGGCTAAAAAAATATATGTATTGTTAAGTTAAACATCAGCACAATAAGAAAGATATACACATTTGATTTTGACAAACAGCAGATACTTTGCTGTATGACATGGCTTTATATCTACATTGTGTCTGCTCAGGCTAAACTGCAACTTCATGTGAATGCAATGGCCCGCTCAGCAGTCCAACCACCATCACTGTCTATCTATTTACACTAGTCTTACCAATGCATTTAACATTTACATATACAACCATTACCACAGAACTACTACAAGACTTTGTGACAGGAAGGCTCGTTTTAGTCAGTCTAAGTTCTGTAAAGCTAAATAAAGTGACACGTGTTATATGGAGGAACTTCATTGAGTGCGTTTCACAATCAGGTCTCTGGATTCAGTTTCTCAGAGAGCTCCGATCCGTCGTCAGGAGCTGTAAGGTCAGAAACAAACAGCATCAAACAGTGAAAGTCCTCTCATCCTGCACTCAACTTTTATAAACAGTAAATACAGGAAACAGTCTTTAAAAGTTCATCTGCACAATAATGTGAAACCCTATTTAATCTACAGCATAAAGTGTGTGTCAGATCAGTTGAAAATAAATAAAAGCAGGTTTTACTTACGAGATGGAGGGCATTTGGCTGAAATCAAAACAAAAGACAAATCATTTCTTCACCTTATCCCCAGTGAATATGATCTTCTCTTCTACTCACTAAAACTACTCATCACTTCTCTCCCACATCATCTTGGTAAGGTCAAATTATCATGACTCACAGGCTCTGAGCCTGACACTGCTTACTGTTGGTTGCTTTAAATTCTGTGGTGCAGGGAACTGATGCTTGTTTCTGTTGTGCAACCTGGATAAAAGCATCAACTCAAAGACTAAAATATACTGAACTGAAATCTTTCCATTTTCTCTCTCACCTTTCTTCTTTTTGTAAGCCATGAGTCCAACTGCAGTGATGAAGATGAGTACAAGAACAACTGCTGCAGCAGTGATGGGCACGGTCATGTCACTGGACTTCTCTGTTGAACAAGAGAGCAACCAAATAAAAACAAGATCAGTACAGATAAAGGACAGAAGTACATCCATCCATTCATCAGTTTATTAATGCGTATGTATGGGTTTGTTCCTGTGGACTACTAGTATAGTATAAAATGTATAGACTAGTGTATTGATATTGTTATTGATCGTCCTGGGTTCGCCTAACTGTATAAACTTAATAAGGAACCAATAAACAATTTCTAATGTTTCTAAAAAAACTGATTTTCTGAAAATTGGTTCAGAATTTAGCAGTGCCTGAATTGTACAGAAAAAAGTTCCAGTGCCCTAATGCTGCACAACCCTAACCCTGATTCTTCTGGCCTTTTTATCCTTTTCAATAAAGGACATTTTCAGTTACTGTATTGTGATAGAACGTTATAATTCCATATACTGCGGTAGAGGATTTTGGCTATATCACCCACCATTATTGTGAGTCACCACAACCACGAGAGGTCCTTGAGCACACAGTCATACATGTGTACAAAAAATATGAGGCTGAGGTCCACTAGAATGCGAGGTTATCTGTAGATAGATACAAAAACAAACCACCAACAGGCATGCAGTCCCATTCAGCACACTCTAATGTCAGTCTTACCCCAGTTGGTTCTGATCTCTGCTTTGTCCAGTTTGGTGACGATGTCGTTCTTCACACCAGAGAGCTGAAACACACAGTCGTACCTCCTCCAGTCTTCAGGTGTGACTGATGAAAGGTTCAGGTCAACACTCATCTGGAAGGATCCATCGTGGTTGGGGAGGATCTCTCCGTGGTCCACGTCCTCATGAAGCTCCTCTCCATCTTTCCTCCAGATGAGTGTGGCACTGTCAGGGTAGAAACCTGTAGCGTGGCAGCTGACTGGAGAGGAGGAAGTCTTCTGGAGGAGAGACACTGAGGGAAGGTCTGGGAGAGAGAGAGAGAGAGAGAGATGACAGCCCCTCATAACAACCACCACATTGTCTCTATATAGACAAATGAGAGAACCACTGAAGAAACTCACTCCAGTCAGAGAAGAAGGATCTGCCTTTGTGGTTCACAGCAAAGTACTCAAACACAGTGTCAATATTCAGTGGAACTATTTCTATTGTGAAACACTGAAACTCTGTAAACTGATTTAAGTCATACTAAAACACTGACTGTCACAGTATCAGCTTTGATTGAAAGTAACCTCAGAGCACCCAAAAATGTCTCTACTGACTGGTTAGGACTAAATCAAATCTTACTGCACAGAAAACTGCTATAAGGTAATGTCACACTGATTGGAGTAATAATAATAATACAATGGCAGTTCAGTCTGAGCAGATTATAGGAACATTGTTGAGTTCATAAAACTAAATCAGATCATGTGATTCTACCTTTTCTCTGCAGAGAGTTGTTGCCAAAGACCAAATACTTCTTCAGGAACCCAGGGAAAAGCTCAGTGAGGTAAATCTTATTGTATTTTATTCTAGCTTTGTCAATATCCCATCTCAATTTGGTGGTGACAGCCTGAGGTTTCGGAGCGATCCATGTCAATGTCTTCAGGTCAAAAGATATGAAGTCTTCTCCATCATAACCATACTGATTAAAACCATTAACCTCTCCAGTCTCATCATCCCACTCACATCCACTCATCCTCTGTAAAACATGGGCACCTGAGAGAGAGACAGAGACAGAGACTGTAATTAACAATGATGTACAGATGAAGATGATCTCACAGATATTGGGCAGTGTGTGTTGCACTTCTATTTTCATCTTCATCTTGTGGTGTGTTCATGATTCAAGAGCAGATAAGTGTACTTTTTCTTTATATGAGTGATGAAACCCAATTTCTGTTACACATTCTTTTCTTTTGTCAACCATGAACTACAACATCCCTGGTCGGGCCAGCTGAAGACTTTTGTTGTGTCTGTCTCCCCCTCATTGTCTTTATTCCCCTAACTGCTGCTTTCTAATAAAGGCATACAATTAAAATAAAAGTGTCACCTGCTAAAACACCTGCAGCATTGAATGCAGTTGAGTGACCACACAAGACTGACCAGGAACTCATTGAAACATAGTTATTGTGTAACTTCTATTACTAACTGGGAAAGGTGGGAAGCTGCCAAACTTCAGGGAGCCTGAAAGCTCCGGGCTTATTGCAACCCTTGTTGTGTCATCTAGTAGTAAAAGACCTTTTAGAGCCATGTATGACGGTTGCTTTCTACTGACTGCAAAACTTTAGTGCTTGATAAGAATCACCTGACTGGCTAATGTTTAACAAACATTATAAAAACTTTGCATTTTCTAATTCAGTGTAAAGATTTAGTTTTTATTATTATTATTTCGATTTTGTGCTATGAAAGTTATATTTTGTGTGTGATGACGACTTTCATTGGTCTAGAGAGGTGGATAAAGTTAGTTCCAAATGTTCCAGATACAATATCAGAATCTTACGTAGTTAGTATATTATTATTACAACACAAAACTCGAGTGTGAAGGTGTGATTCTTGGACTGAAACCTGTACAGATGGATGTTAAGCCCATTCAATCAAATTATTTAAAGAAATCATGAAGAAAATGGAGGCTGTACTTTTCCTGTTTGTTTGTAATTGTGAGGATATTTTGACTATAGATGGATGTTTTGAATTTCTCAGTATGATGAGTAGTTTGTGTTGGACAGAGCAAACAAGTCTAACCAGGACCTGATTTATGGATTACATGCTGACTGGCAGCTAGTGGTTCCAGGTTTTCAAAGCAATGTGATGGCGGTCTATTTACTTTACAACTAAGATGCAGAACAGTTTAACAGTAAACAGTGAAATATAACATAGTGGGCTACATACTGTACCTCCACTTTGGTTGAAGCGCTGCTTTAAATTATCAAGTGTGGTTTTAAAGAAGTGCGGCTCATGATCTGAACACTTTGTAGTGTACCACTGCAAGTGCTGAGGATCATCTTCAAATAATTTTTTCAACCAGTCCTGTTGTGGTTCTGGTCTCTTTTTGTTGCTGTCGCAGTAACCGGCCAGAATCTCATTAACCTCTAGAACAACCACAAACTCTGGGAAGTCTGGGACTCCAGCAGATGCAGTGAAGATAAACTTCAGGGAGTGTTTCACTGCAGGAAAAACAAGGTTTAATACATTTATACACACACACATAATTTAAATATGATGTAGACTATTCAGTATGATTCACATTCCCAACATATAGTCTTATCAAGTTGAAGTAAAACTGAAACTAAATTCTTGTTTGTCTTTAGCAAAATGCAATAAAATAAATATGTTAAATGTGATCTTACCTGCTGATGAAACGTGACACAAGAGCAGCAACAAAAAGACGTTTTTCATTGTGTTTTTGGTTAAGACTTGTGGGTAAAGAGTGAGCTGGGTCCGCTGTGGTTTCTACTGTAATGTGAGCCACAGAGTGCTGAACCGTGATAAAGGGAGCTGTTGTCAGAATGTTTATTACGGTAGGCGTGGCCTAAAAGATACATATACGCGTTTTATATTATGTACAATTTGGACTTATATTACTGTACTGGTTGTTTGTTTGTTTGTTTGTTTGTTTAGATAATTAAGGGCAATTTTTATTTTACTAATCATGAGTTCCTCATATTGGGACCTAAATTAAATCAGTAAAGTACATTCATATTTTATGCCAGTAAACAGTATTACAAATGTAATGATAACACACAGGCTTCTTGGACTTTTATTGCTCACCTATGAGACTAAAAGCATTAAAATCAGAGAGGTGTTGTGGTGCTTTGGCTCCAGTTGTGAAGGGCTGCTGTTGCCACCAGATGTCACTGTGCTGCTGCATTTGAAGCCCCAAAGCTCCAGACAGCTTCATCCACCTCTCACTAGTTCTGACTTAACTAAGAACGAGTGATATGTATTGGAGCAAGAGCATCCATTACTAATGATCTTAAAACAATCTATTTGTGACAAACTGGTGAAAATACAGCCTCTCTTTTTATCACTCTCAAAGACACCACCTCCCTCAACATGCTAGTTTCCCCTTCAACCATCGTCCCCTTCATGCTACTTCCAACAACAATAACAACAACAACAACAACAAAAATCAGTCATAAAGTCATAAAAAAAAGTATTAAAATAAAAATGATTATTCATTTGTATGATGAATTGTTGTGGAAGAATTCAACAGCCTCACTGCCTGAGGGAAGAAGCTGCTCTGCAGTCTGGTGGTCCGGCAGCAGAAGCTTCTGTACCTCTTCCCAGATGGCAGCAGGGTGTGTCTGGGGTGGGTGCTGTCTTTTAGTATCCTTTGGACTCTGTGCAGGCATCTCACCTCAGCAGTATCACTGATGCTGGGCAGCTGAGTACCAATGATCTTCTGGGTGGTTTTAATCACCCGCTGCAGTGTCCAGAGTGCTGAGTTGACCGAGGGAGAATGTGTTGTTGAATGCTGAGCTGAAGTCATCCTACACCACAAACTGTACAGTGATATCACTCTTCTCAGCTGTCAGTCCTATAAACTGGCATCAGGACATGTGTGTGCTCACATCAACCTTGGACTAAAGAAAACTCGCTGTGCATAACTGATCATAAAGTTCCAAGAAAACAGCCACCGTCAACATGTTTCACACTACGTACAAAGTGAATGTCACATACAAATGGAAATAGTCTCAAACACAAGTTTAACATACTTTAAAGATTTCAACAAAAGCTTTAATTACAGATGAAAATAATATACAAGCAGAATATTTACAATAAGTTTTGATTGTTTTTATATTTGGAAGAAGAAGTTATGAATGAATGGATTATTCTGAGCAAACAGGACTTTGTCTGTTATCACAAATGCAAACACATCTACCTGCATGGTTTGATATCATTAGAGGTCATTTTGTGAACCACAAACCTGAAGAGACGGAGAGAATAATCACATAAAACAGAATTAACTTCATCAGAAATATTTGGAAAGTTCAATTCAACGAAGGTTATAACATTGTATCAGTACCTGAGTATTCTGATTTCAATGAGATCTAAAATATTCACAATTTTACAACATTTTAACAGATGGCTGCTTTTAAAGGATTATTTCTTGACTTTATTTTCTGATGTGAGCATCAATGCCTCATTTAGCTTGTTTTTTCTCTTTATAACCTCACTTATCTTTATCTACTGTTGGTCATAGGAAACCAGCTCTTTGTCAGATATTTTCTTTGCAGCTTTAAAGTGATTCAGAGGTTTTACAGTGAACGACAAAACAATATCAAACTGCTTTAACTGGAGGTGTTAGGTTCACTGTTTTGTTGTCCCACATGATGTCACTGTGTGCAGGGTGGTGTGTTTGCTCGTGATTCAGATTCTCAGAGAGCTCAGAGCTGTTTTCAGGAGCTGCAAGGTCAGAAACACACTGTTAGTCCTCTTCTCCTGCACTGAACTACCTCAGCTCACAATGTAAAGAACGTGTCAGAGACAATAGAATAAAAACAAGTTCTACTTACGACGTGGAGGGCGATTGGCTGAAATAAGAAGAAAAGATCAGAAGAGTTTAAAATGCCAGAAAACCTTTTGTCTCATTTTCCCTTCTGAATGTAATTCTTTCATATAAAGTGAAACTCATTTATATGTTATTAAAGGTTTAACTCGGCTCATTCTAGTCTCTCACCTTTCTTCTTTTTGTAAATGATAAATCCAATCGCAGCAATGAGGACGACAGCAAGAACAACCACTGTAGCAGTAATCGGGATGGTGATGTTACTGGGCTCCTCTGCTCGGCAAAAAACAACACAAATAAACAAAAATGATCACAACATGTGAAGATGAAGCAGGTTAAAAGATCTATCCATCTGTTCATCACACATTCACATTGTGAATAGAGTATAATACAGTAGTCACTGGTGTGTGTGAGCAGAAATATACAGCATTTAAAGGACACAGCTTACTTCATGAATCTCCTCTCCATCTTTCCTCCAGATGAGTGTGGCACTGTCAGGGTAGAAACCTGTAGCATGGCAGCTGACTGGAGAGGAGGGAGTCTTCTGGAGGAGAGACACTGAGGGAAGTTCTGGAGAGAGAGAGAGAGAGAGAGAGAGAGAGAGAGAAAGAGGAATGGAAAAGTGTTAGAGAAAGATGAAAGGGGAGAAGGGAGAACAGGGAAGGGAATAAAACAAGGGAATAGACAGATGAAGAAATTCAAGAGGGAGGAATCAAGATGAGTGAAAGAGAAAATGGGACAGAGATAAGCAATGAAAGACACACTGTATCTGTCTGCATTATGAGTGCATGGTCCTGTACTTGTACAGCGCCTTTCTAGTCTTCCGATCACTCAAAGGGCTTTAACACCACGTGCCACATTCACCCTTTCACACACATTCACTCAGTGATGGTAAAGCCCATCAAACGGAAACCTCGGGAGCAATTCGGGGTTCAGTACCTTGCTCAAGGACACGTTGACATGTGGTGGGAGGAGCCGGGGATCAAATCAACAACCTTCCGATTAGTGGATGACCCACTCTTCTTCTAAGCCACAGCCGCCCAACCAGAAAAATGTTACCCTGATGGTGGTAGAAGATAAGCAGTAATCCACCTCAGGTATGTTAAGCAGCCTAAAATAGTAGTACTGTTAAAATCCTAATGATACCCATCCATACAATCTGTGTAAACTTACTTACCTCATGTCTGGCTATCACAGTATCAGTTTTGATGGAAAGTAATGTAGAGCACCTACAACTGTCAGTCTCTGATTGGTCAGGGCTAAATCAAATAATACCTTCAACAGCCAAAAATAAGATAACGTCAAACTGATTGGAGTAATAATACAATGGCAGTTCAGTCTGAGCAGATTATAGGAACATTGTTGGGACTCATTCTCACAGAATCAGGGGCTATTTCACTGAAGCCAGAATGCCCCTGCGTATGAAAAATCCAACATGGGATGATGATGACAACCAAGGATATCAGGACTCAATAACAGCACTCTGCACAGAGATTCAGACCGCGTTCCCAGTTCCACAAGACATGACCGCTCTGGAACTGATGAATCAGGGCTCAGACGAGGCTGTGGGCGTATTCCTGGCGCGCCTCACTACTGCCTTTGACTGTCATAGCGGCATGCAGCGCCCAAATACAATGGGAGGCTCCCCACTCACAGCTTAAGAATCAGACTTGAAAAGCCTTTTTCTAAGCAGAATGCACCCCTCACTGGCAGATGCCTGTCGCCACTCCTGCATCACCTGGAAATCCTGCAGCTTGGCAGATATTTTGCAACATGCTGAGCATGAAGAAGACATTCAAAAACGTCAGGACGCGCTAAAAAAGAAGAAGAAACAGGAGAAACTGGACGAGGCCAAGCTGACTATGTACAATGCAATGACGAGTGAAGAACAGTAGAACTGTTAGAGAACAAACCACGTGGTTCATCTGTGTACTGTTAAGAAAATTAGGGATGAGGATCAGCCAACATAATGGCGTTTTGTACAAGATTTACAAGCAGTAAATGCTGCAGTGCATCCGCGCACGCCTGAAGTTTCTAACCCACATACCATTCTGTATCTCATCCCACCAGACGCAACTCATTTTCCGGTTGTTGATTTGGCCAATGCATTTTTCTCCGTACCCGTCCATCCTGAAAGTCAATATTGGTTTGCATTCACCTTTCAGGGGTGTAGCTACACCTGGACCAGATGTGCATAAGGGTACTTGGAAAGTCCAACGTATTTTCATCAGCAGCTGAGCCTAAATTTTCAAAATTTAGAATTTCCATCAGGTTCTGTCTTATTAGCTCATGTAGAATACCTTATGGTGGCCAGCCCCTCAGAGGAGGCATGCAAAACAGACACGGTTGCACTATTAACATTTCTGGCTAACAGCGGTCACAAAGCCAGCTTGTCTAAATTGCAGTTTGTTCAGACAAAAGTAACATACCTGGGACATGTGATCACAGCAGAGGGCAAATCCCTCTCTCCCAAACGAATTGCAGGATCCCTAATTATTCAGAGCGAGAGGCACCCCTCTCAGCTATGGTCCATGGCAAAAAATTGACAGCTCATGGCAAAATTACATGGACCCCAGAAGCAGAAAAGGCCTTTGTAGATTTGAAAAGTGCACTCATAAATGCTCCAACACTTGGCTTACCAAATCCAAATAAGCCATTTGTATAGTTCATCGATCAAAAGGGTGGATATGCCACTTCTGTCCTCTGCCAGAAACATGGAGATAAACTCAGACCTGTTGCTTATTTCTCTACAAAGCTGGATCCAGAAGCAACAACAACCCTCCCTGCCTTAGAGCTGTAGCAGCTGCAGAGAAGGCAGTGATAGCCTCTAGAGATTTAGTAGGCTATTCTGAGCTCATACTTATGGTACCACACGCTATAGCTCACATTTTGCACACACAAGATGCTGTCTGCGCAGCGCTGGTTGAGATAACACACCACATTGTTGGAAATGCCTAATGTCACTGTCAAA